GTTACTCAGTTGTCCAGGCTGAGTCTTAAGTTTTGATCCTCCTGCCTCAGCCTTCCAGAGTGCTGGGATTACAGGCATGAGCCACCATGCCCAGCTACAAAAACTTTTTAAAGTGATGGAAATGTTTTATATCCTGTGGTGATTTTATGACTGTATACATTTACCAAAGCCCATGAAATTATACACTTTTAATTGGTGAGTTTTACTGTATTTAAGTTATATCTCAATAAAATTCATTACCAAAAAAGTGAGGAATTCAGGGTTTGTTTGTTTGGGGTTTTTTTTGTTGTTGTTGTTGTTGTTTTTTTGGTTTTTTTTGGTACTGGGGATGGAACTCAGGACCTTCTGCTTGCTAGGCAGATGGCAAAACCACTGAGCTAAATCCCCAGCCCAGGAATTCAGTTTTTAACACAACTACGAAATGAATTTTAGTCAAGCACGTTTAGATTTTAAATTCAAGCATTTCCTACATAACCAAAATTAACCCTAATTAAGACAGAGCAAGTCACCACAGGGCATATATAGCAGAGATTGTCTTCATCAATTACAAATTCGTCACAAAACTCAGTTAAAAAAAACCTAAGATTTACCAGAAATTATCCAAATGTGCTACAGAAAAAAGCAAATTACCAAAAACAGTCTTTTAAAAGAAACAAATTACAAAGTGCTACTCATTTACACAAGCCATAATAACTTCAAATATAAAATGTATTTTCTCAGTGTGTTTCATAATGCAAAAGAGTAGTGTTTTTAATGTCAGGTTGAAAAGTATTTTCCAATTATGACTTTCTAAAAGATACACTGTAACAACATTACACAGTTTTCAGCAACAAGGGCATATATAGCAGAGATTGTCTTCATCAATTACTAAAAAGTTTGTGGTTAAAAATATTCACAAATATTGAAGATAGATGTAAAACAATAATAAAAAATTCTGGTGTGCACCCTGCTTTCAGATGCTTTGACAATACTATTGCACTGCTAGCTGTAAAGTACAGTAGTGCAATAAAGTCAGAGCATTCGTTAGCAGTAATAAGTAGAAAAGGAACACAAAAGTATCTGGCGACACTTGAAGCTTCAGTGTGAAAAGAATTTAATGTTAGGTTACCATTTTGGTCAGAAGACATCCAAAAACCTAAAAACATTTACATCAATGCTTATGTTAAAAAAAAAAGTTGAGACTTAAGTATCAAAGAGATAATTGTTTTTTGATGACTAACCTATAATTGACATTCAAACAAAAACATCAAGAGATGTAGAGGAACTTTGTAAATAGGTTCGAAACCTTAGTAGTAATCAAGATAGGTATTATTAATACCTTAGGATTGGCATTAACAAAACCAGTTATAATTACTACTAAGTCAGTTGTGTTTTATGTTGAGATGGTTTGTTGGTTAGCTCCTTTTCCAAAGCAATTGATTACCTGCCAAATAAGCCCTTTGAATAAGTATATCAAAGAAAACAAATGAAAAGTAAAATAAATTTTTCAAATGTCTACATACACAAGCAATTACGCTGGATTCTAAACTACATATTAAAAAACACAAAAAACACTTACCACCTTACAGCTCTTTATCTCAAAAGTTCACTGAAGGCTCTCATGACAAGTAAGTAGACACCCAAGGAATCAACTGGCGCTAAACTGAACATCAACCCAACTTTACTGAACACTACAGAAGAGGTTTCTACTATTCCAATTAACTAAAGAAACCAAGTTTCTTTAAAAGTCAAATATAAACCTAGAAATAGTGTCATAGTGTCACACTATGCTACCTTTTGTGATCAATAGTGGACAAAAAGGGCCCTGGACAAATGCCACTCAATCAGTAAGTGAGGGAAAAGTTAGAGAACAAAGATTACTCTACAATGAGGTTATTCCTCTATTAGTAATATTGATTGATGCAGAAACACATTTCCATTATTTTCACCAACCTTCTTTTAAAGGGTCCAGTTCAGTTACTTAGCTGGATTAAGGCCTACCAAAAAATGGAATCAAATTCAGGACAGCTGGAACTTGACAGTCTTGGCCTCAAATCCTGGACCCTATAACTCAAATATTAGAATATTTAACTCTGTTAACCAAGTATTAGGTTTTAAAGACAAGTAAAGGCAAATGTTTAACTTTCTGAATTGGAAGCTAACACAACCAAAAAATATATAAAAATTTTAAGAGGATAAGGCTGTCTGTTTACAAAATTAGGATAACTAGTTTCTTTTTCAAAGTTAAATATTATGCATTCTCTTTTCACCTACCAAATATTCAATATTAGTTCCTTGACAAATCCTTTGAAGTAATAAAAATCCAAAAACCAGAAGATTGCACAAGAAATCATTTACTTTTGGAATCTTAGAAACTATACTAGCTCACATATTTTTTAAAATTTCTTAATGAACATGGAAAATCTGCAGATAAGATGTACTTTTACCATCTAGTCAATACAAAGCAGTAATACTAAAAACATAATAAAAATTAAAGTACATTTCCTAGAGTATACAGCTTTAAACCCAAATTATGAAAACAGTAACTTGAGGGGAGCAGAGGGAAACTACCACTAATTTACTTGAAAGAAATTTAAGAAAAAAATGCTTTATTTTCTCCCTCTTGTCAAAAAAATTTTTTAAACTTCCCCATTTTAACATACAAATGTTTAAAAGTTTGGCTACCTTGTAAGTTTCTAAAACCTACTCTTTTCAAGATGATTACTTGTTTTTCCCTTAAAATAGAATTAGTGCAATTTAAAATAGTCTTGTAAGAATATTAACCCTGATGCAAAGGCTAGAAAGAGCCTGAAAATTAAAACAGCCAATTTAAGAAAAAAATTTTTTCAAAAGTAGAATTAGTGGACCGGGGATTTATTTGGCTCAGTGGTTCCACCACCTGCCTCATAAACGAAAGGTCCAGAGTTTGATCCCCAGTACTAAAAAAAAAAAAAAAAAAAAAAAAAAAAAAAGTAGATTACTATCATTTGACATTAACAATTAATCAGAAATATCTGTATCTGAAGGGAGGAATTCAAAATAGGGAGAGGAGCAAGATACAATTTTTATACCTGTTGATAGAATCAAACTAAAATACTTAACATTTTCTGTATTTCAAAAATACAGTAACTTTAAAAACCTGTTTGTTGTCGGGCGTGGTGGTGCAAAGCCTGTAATCACAGCACTCCAGAGGCTGAGACAGAAGGATCGCTGTGAGTTCCAGACCAGCGTGGGTTACAGGGCAGTCTCAACTAACATAGTGAGACCCTGTCTCAAAAACAAACAAACAAAAACCCGCAAAAAACCTGTTTGTTAACCATATTATTCAGATCTTAAATATCTTTCCCTTTTATAAAGGCTGAGACAGAAGGATCGCTGTGAGTTCCAGACCAGCCTGGGTTACAGGGCAGTCTCAATTAACATAGTGAGACCCTGTCTCAAAAACAAACAAACAAAACCCGCAAAAAACCTGTTTGTTAACCATATTATTCAGATCTTAAATATCTTTCCCTTTTATAAAAATCATGAAAAAAAACCTCCTTGAACTAAATACTCATTATTTCAAGCTTGAAAAGCTTCATGTCTTCCCTCTCAGTGCTCCCCCCATCCTGCCACCCTGTCGCCATCCCCACACTCCCTACACAAACACACCGCAAAATTTAAACGCAAAAGTTAAAAAGCAACGAAAAACAAATAAAAGTAATTAAAAGCCTTCAAATCAATTTATATTTAAGAATCACCTCAATTCAGTAACACATCAAGGGGAAATGAGATCTTAAAAAAAAAAAAAAAAAAAAAAGGTCTCAAGACTTCAAGACTTTTTGAGCTGGAAATGGAAGTTAGAATGGTTCAGTATCTTCCAGGATCCACACACGTCCTTTCCAAGGCAGAAAAGAGAGGCTCAAATTGGAGAGAGAGCAGCGCAGGAACAACCGATACCTAAGTAGTAACGCCACGGAAGGGAGGTGGAAGAGCCACGGATCGCGGTTGGAGAAATTTCCTAATTCGCAAAATTTAATCTTGTGATTTTCTTTAACAAAGAAATAAACGATAGAACCTAAATGTAGAGTACTTTCCCCAAGCCCCCTATTTTTAAGGGAGCCAGCTCAAACTGCAAAAACTAATAATGTAAGAGAAAAGGACTGAAGATAAAACAAGAGAACTAAGAAAAAAAGCGCGGGCTTTTGAGCTGGTAATCTAGGTAGGGATGGGAGAAGAAAAAGGGAAAACCCTGAAAACTAGGACAGCGCCTCGTCTTGGCGCCCTCGCACAGGCCAAACAGCAGCACCCAGGGTCCCCCTTCCAGGTCCTCTCAATCCCTCTTCTCTCACGGATAAGAAAAGCGGGAGACTGGGGAGCAACGTGCTCGCCAGTCCCCATCTCCCCACCGCGGCCTCCTCTCCCCTCACCAGGGCTCGCTACCTCCGGGCTAAACACAAACAGGTCTGGGGGCTTCCTAGAACGCCAAGAAGTTGCACGCGCAAGTCTAGCGTCCTTTCTCACACTTTCTCAGCCCGCGCCTCTGAGCACTCCAACCACTCGGCCCTGAAGGGATCGGCGCCGTCCCCCTCGATTTATTCCCTCCACGCCTCTTTCTAAGAGTACGAACGACTTCTCTCCTTCTTGGGGCACTTAGAGACTGATGCTCTTCTTGGGGCGTAAAGTAGGTTCCCCCTTTGGTGGAAATACGTAAAGTACTGTCTGCCCCAGGCGTAGCGACTTGTGGGAGGAAAGGTGAAGGTAAGAAATTCCAAGGCCCCACGCCCTCAGCATCTCCCGCCATTTCCCCCACGAGTTTCCCGGATGTAACCCCTTCCCCCGCGGCGGTTAAGAGACCGAGGCGGTGGTGATAGCGGTGGAGATGGTGGTGGTGGTGGCTCCCTTTGGTGCAAAAGAAGGGAGTTCGTTTCTGAGCCAGCCTCCGTCGCCCAGAGTTTCCGGTGACTCCAAATTGCGTCCTAGCTTCGAGGCCATGGGAGGAAAATTAATTACCCAGTAGATCTCCTTCACTTTGTACTCACCATCAATTCCAGCTTATCGACCTCCGCCTCCATGTTGAATAGTTGACATTCCTCAAACCCCGGCGGCGCCCAAGCTGCAAACCTTACTAGCACTGAGGATTTCTATTGGACAGCTGTCATTCAACGTCTTGCACTCATTGGCTCTTCTATTCACCAGCGCCCGCCCACTGGCGGCTGGGTAACGCCCATCCGCATGAAACACAATTTCCTGTTGGACAAATACACAAAATGCCGCAGGGCGATTGGCTGATGTACATATTTTTTTTTCTATTGGCTACCCTGTCTTCTCTACTTTCAATTTCATAGTTAGGGCTCCTCAGAAAAGAGCTTGCTATTGGTGCAATCAGAAGAAGACTAAACCAATTATACGAAAGCTTCCACCGACAACATAGGCGACCTGACACACCTTCTTTCCCTTCTGGCTTCCCCTCCCCTTCTCTCCCGCCTTCTTCTTCTTTGCCGAAGTGCCTCAGCTCTGATTGGTCAGAGCGTGGTGCGCTCTCAACCAATCATAAGCCAAACTGGGCTCCTACGGTACCAAGAGAGCGAATCCTGGGGAGAGTACCCCTAGGATTGGTCCCTCCGTGAGAAGGATTTAATTTTGAATTTTTCTTTAAACCGTGAAGAGGCCGCTATCCGGACCCCATCTAATCGCCAGGCTCTTAAACCAGTAAGTGCAGGGGCCATTCCTTTTTTGTTACGTGGGCTTGCGTCTGCAGCTGGGCTTTTTATGCTTATGTTCTTATATTGCTTAAGAAGGTGAGGACTTTGACTGGGTTGTGAGGAAAGATGGAGCAGAAAAGGGGGAGGTTTGGGGCTGGGGAAGAAGCGCTTCACCTGACTCCTGCCGAATCACACTTTTAATTTAACACACCGCAAAATACGTTTTGGAACAAAGCATCTGTTAGGGTCCTGATGCCGCCATTATGGGCCGCGTTTCCGAGTTCTTCATGCCTCCACGCTACTATCGTGTTTCCTTTTCCCAAAGCCACGATAGTTTTAGAGAAATAAAACTTAGCTTCTGTAAGGCTAATTCCTTAAAAGGCTACATGGCTTGCATAGGTTAATAGCTGCCCACTTGCTCACAGATATACAATAGCCCAGCCCCAAACCTGAAAAAGGACCATCCCTTCTTTTCTCTCGCTCTCTCCCCATCTCTCTCTCTCTCTCTCCCTCCCTCCCTCCCCCCCTTCCACTTTTCTGAATAAAGTCTCCTGTCGAACCTCTCCGTGTGTGGCCTTGTTGTTGAGCGTCACTGTTCCTCCTTATTGGTGTCAGAAGTGAGTCGGAGGCCCAAACCCAAAACTCCCTTGACTTCCGACAGGCCCACGTCTGCGACCATCTTCCCGGACGCTACCCCTACAAACATCACCAGCACGGTTGATCCCATCGCCCCCAGACTCTCGGGTGAGTTCCCTCATGACTGTCTAGGGTGGGGCACTCGGACTCAGCGGACCAGAAAAGAGACTTCCTTCCGGGACATGCGTGGGCCGGGCGCCAGATTTTATGTCCCCAGTCGTGAGCCTCCAGGTTCACCAGGACAAGTCCGGGACTTGCCGTATCGGCCCCCACCTCTCTAGGGACGCCTTAGGAGGCGGTACGGCTGTCCTTTTCCAGACCCCCCCCCATGGTAGAGCCGTCTCCATCCGGAGTTTGGGTCCCCTATTTCTAGGTTCAGAATCTAGAAAGACAAACTGGTGACTCCAAATCTCAAGAGACGTTTTGGGACTCAAACTTCACCTCACAGTCTCATTCCTGGTCGCCACAGGCTCCAGATCTTCCATACCTGCAGACTCTCCCTTGGGGTGCTTGCTCCAAAATCTGAAGGGCCTAGACCTAAAATCTAAATGGCAAATAAGCCTGTCCACCCAAATCTGGCCTCAATATCAGTTAGACAACCGAAACGTGTGGCCGCCTAACAGCTCACTTGAACCTGGTCTGATTCGGGACCTTTATAACTTCTGTGAACATCAAGGAAAATGGTCAGAGATTCCATATGTTCAGGGCTTTTCTTACCTCCGTAGCCAGCCCTCTCTTTGCTCTCTGGCCCCAAATCCACCTCCCCTCCCCAAACTATTGGTGGCTCAAGACATCTCTACTTCTACCTCTCTTTCTTTTAAGTCCAGACCAGATGGATCCGGCTGACGATCCTCTTCCTTATCCTAGAAACCCGGAAATGGTCCCAAACCCCATCCCTCAACCTCCTCCTCTGGCCTCCTCCTCTCCTCCCATATTAATACAGTTAAAAGATGGGCCCAAAACTTTATGAGTAGGAAAAAACAAAAAAAAACTTTTTGAGTAGAAAGACGTAATAAGTAGAGTAAGAATTACTATCTTTCACAGAAGTTGGCTGCTCCTTCTGCTAAAACTCCATTGGGTGACATGAACATTCTTTTTTTGGCGGGGGGTGAGACAGGGTCTCACTATGTAGTTGAGACTGACCTGGAACTCACTATGTAGCCCAGGCTGATCTCAAACTCAAAGTGATCCTCCTGCCTCAGCCTCCCAAGTACTGGGATTACAGGTGTGCACCACCACATCCGGCTTGACCTGAAAATTCTTTATTCAAGGTACTTCCAAAGCTGTGTCAGGGATGGAAATGACAGTTGCACTGTATTACTTGTTACACTTGGCCTTTAGCCAATTCTGTTTTTATTACCAATTCAATCCGTTCATCTTGAACACCATAACACGGCTTTTGGTACTAGCTTATATTTAGTTTTATGCTTTATGTTTTGCAGCACTGCTGTTTTAGATTCTATTCTGCCTTGTTCCCCAAAAGAGACCTCTGAAGTTCCCACCAGCACAATATTGGGCAAATAGTAAGAGGGCACACTTTTTAAATTGACACTCAAAGCATGTCGGACGGCATTAATGCTGTATGATGGAACATGGAAATATTCCCAGTAAAGAAATGTACTCCTGGGAAGCTCTAGTTAAAATGCTACTGCCATCTCCGCTCCCTACACTGCCGATTACCTATCACCCGGGAGACCTGGTTCTCCTGGCCTCACCACATCAACAGAAAGACCCACTCAAACCTAAATTTCAGGGCCCATTCACAGTTGTCCTTTCAACTCGGACAGCTGTTAAACTTCGGTCCCTTCCAGGATGGTTCCATTGGTCTCGTGTTAAACCGTATCTTCATGCTCCTCCCCCACTCACACCCACAGGACCTCATCCACACTATTCAACCATCCCCACGGGACCTCTGAAGGCAAAATTTACTCGGATTCCCGAAGACCTGGTTGCCCAGGATCCTTCACTGTCATCCAGTCCTGAATCAGAGAAGCCAGCTTAACTGTCTGCCTCCTCATTTTTTCGTGGAGTACTGTGATACTTTTAATACCAAGACACCCACTGATATCCTGAGTCTTCTTTTGGTACTCTTGGGATCTATCTTGGGAATTGGATTTGGATTGGCCTCAGCAACCCCTTCCAACTATAACTTTACTTCTAGGTGTTTGCTCGTATTAGCCTATTACCTTATAAGCTCATTCATTGCCGTTATTAATTGCTAGAGCCAGTAATGGTTCCTTTCCTGCTTCTGTTTTCTCTCCTAAACCTTACCCAAGTCAGTGGACTTTTGTCGTGTACTTTGACTCGCTCCCAGCCTAACTCAGTCCTCTTTCAGACCCCGATAGGATCCCCAGACATTACTTTCCAGGTTACTTTATGTCAGTTCTTTGACCACACCCCATCAGATTCCTGCCGCACTTCGCACTGGCCTACAGCTGATTACCTATGTCCCACCACTGGTCCCACACATTGCCATTCACGCGGCCAGTACCACTGTGCCTCTTGGGGCTGTGAGTCCTTGGCCCTGTGGAAGCCAACACCATCATCAGATCAACACATCTGTCTTTCTTCTACATCATTAAACAGCCCTCGGCCCTTTAAATTCAACATCACAGTCAAGGATCCCACTGATCCTACATGGCAGTCCGGAAGGACGTGGGGCCTCAGGCTCTCTGTCTCAGGCTTGGATCCCGGTTCGGAGTTCACCATCACTTGCAGGCCTTGGATACCTGGGACCACTCCAGCCCTGCCCATTATCCAGGTTGTACATAATGTTTCATCAGAACTCCACCGCTTAGACCAATCCCTCGCCCAACTACCAGTCAACCCGGATTGGGCAGAACAAAAATTGTCACTCTGGGTTTTTGAATCTATCTAGAGGACCTTCTCTTGGTGATCTAACACCCCCTACTTCACTAAGGGCTGCTGGATAGGACTCAACATCCGTGGACTACGATCTGTCACTCCACAGGCTTGGCCCCTTCTCTGGCCCCTCCCATGGAATCATTCGCTTCGCTTGGCATCGGGCCCAGTACAAATTGTAGGACAAAATTTTCATTTAATCACCCAGGCCCTGGTATGCCTCAATCTTACAGGAGACATCACCATCCCGAGGATACCAATATCCAGTTGTTCCAACGTCACCCATTTATCCTTGAACAACTCCCTCTCCAACATAACCATATTATGTGGAACAACTCTCTGGTCGGGAATTAATACCTCTTGAAATGCTCTCTGCACTCCAGCCCTCCTGGCCCCCGATTTCTATATAATACCAAGAAACGAGGGAGTCTCAGTCCCCATGACTAGGATGGCCCGAGCCCGACAAAAGAGAGCATTACAGGTGGCCATTATGCCCCTCATAACAGCATTGGGCATAGCAGTAGGTATGGCTACAGGAACTGCAGGATTGTCCCATTCTATTGTATAAGGAAAACACCTGACAGAACAACATGAAGACGTTACCCAACTTTCTAAGGCAATCCTTATACTCCAACAACAGATCAATTCCCTCTCCCAGGCGGACCTACAAAACAGGCAAGGCCTTGACCTCTTACTTGCAGAAAAAGGAGGACTTTGCTTAGCTCTTCAGGAAAACTGTTTCTTTTTTGTTAACCAATCAGGAATGGTAACAGACCAAATCCACCGACTTCAAGAAAGCCTGGAATGGCGACACAGGGAGCGTGAGTCAGGGACTAATGGGGGACTCACTAGCTGGCTCAACATTCCTCTACTAAATTCTTTACTTCTCTTTATGACCCCTCTATTGGTCATCTTTACTTTGTAGGCAGTCGCCCCCTGTGTTCTCCATTTTATTCAATCCCAGGTCAGCCGCCTCTGCTCAAGTCTCCCAACAGACTGCTCATCAGTTGATAGGAGACTGAAGTATCAACAAGACCACTGTTTACATGGCAACCACTCAGATCTCAGATCCTGAATGATCTTTGATTGATATTCTCTAGTTTGCTCCCCACCCTTGTCCTGTTACCCACATAGCCAACTGGGTCACTAACATGTGGCTCCAAAGGAACTTTATCAGATTTCACCCCAACTGAAATCATAACCTTTACTTTTTTACTTGTTTTACTAACCCTCCAACCCAGTCCATAGCCCCATAAATCCCAGGCTATTCCTCTAGATTAAGATGCCCTCGGGATGCCCATTCTGTCCCAAAACACAGAGTACAAAACTTTTCAGGTTCCTCGCCCAAAAGTTTCTCCCTTAGGAGTGGGCTTTAAATAGCTCGCCTCTCATACCCCCCTCAACACTGCCTCTATTGCACACAAGAGGTCGTCTCTGTTCTAAGGGGCCCAGCACAGGGAACACAATACGACCCTACTCCCATAGTACTGCACTGTTCAGCGGGAAAACTTTGGATAGTCCTCCGACCCCTCAGAATACTGTCAAATGTCTGCACGAGAGTTTCATTAAAAACCAATTGGCCCCAACAGGGACCTGGCATCTCTTGGGCCCCGGCTCCCCGGCCCCTGCATTCCTCTCTCCTGGTCCACCTGTTCTGCCACGATCCCGCCTTCCCAGAAGGGTTCGTGCTAGAAGACACCATCCAATCATTATATGATTTCTATTATGTCCCTGTCCTTTTCACGCTGACTTTCTTAGGCAGTGTAGAGGGTCGGCCACTCCCCTGGTTCATCATAGAAACCTTCCAGGATGGGTTACAGAGGACAAAAAGAAATGTTCCTAAGGACCTGGGTATGGCAACTTTGAGAACCCCGATGCGGACCACAGACCATCTCATCGCCCTGGTGTCAGCAGAAAGTACTTACAGAAGACGGACTCACTGCCGCTTCGCCCCCCCCACACACACACAGACAACACACACCAACTGCTGCCTCCATCTAAACCAAAGAGGGGGGTGTTAGGGACCTGACGCCGCCATTATGGGCCGTGTTTCCGGGTTCTTCATGCCTCCATGCTACTATCTTAAGTTTCCTTTTCCCAAGGCCACGATAGTTTTAGAGAAATAAAACTTAGCTTCTGTAAGGCTAACTTCTTAAAAGGCAACGTGGCTTGCATAGGTTAATAGTAGCCCGCTTGCTCACAGATATACGCTAGTTCAGCCCCAAACCTAAAAGGACCATCCCTTCTTTGCTCTCTGTCTGTTCCACTCTTCTGAATAAAGTCTCCTGTGGGACCGCTCGGTGTGTGGCCTTGTTGTTGAGCGTCTCGCTGTTCCTCTTCAGCATTTGCTTTCCTTCTGCTCATTCCTTTACATCTCTGCTACTCGAAGTAGGTCCACAAACCAGAGACCATTAACTATTGCTTATTGCAAATGCAAATGATCAGAATCTACCCAGATTTACTGAATCGGAATATGCATTTTAACTAGAGCTTCCCAGGAGTACATTTCTTTACTGGGAATATTTCCATGTTCCATCATATAGCATTAATGCCATCCGACATTCTTTGAGTGTCAATTAAAAAGTGTGCCCTTTATGGGCCAGGGGTTTGGCTCTGGTTCTGCTGCCTGCCCTGCAAGCACAAGGGCCCAAGTTCGATCCCCAGTACCAAAAAAAAAAAAAAGTGTGCCCTCTTACTATCTGCCCAATATTGTGCTGGAGGGAACTTCAGAGGTCTCTTTTGAGGAACAAGGCAGAATCTAAAACAGCAGTGCTGCAAAACATAAAGCATAAAACTAAATATAAGCCAGTACCAGAAGCCGTGTTATGGTGTTCAAAATGAACTGATTGAATTGGTAATAAAAACAGAATTGGCTAAAGGCCAAGTGTAACAAGTAATACAGTGCAACTGTCATTTCCATCCCTGACACAGCTTTGGAAGTACCTTGAATAAAGAATTTTCATGTCACCCAATGGAGTTTTAGCAGAAGCAGCAGCCAACTCCTGTGAGATATAGTAATTCTTACTCTACTTATTACATCCTTCTACTTGAAACAGTTTTTTTTTTCTACTCATAAAGTTTTGGGTCCATCCTTTAATCATATTAAGATGTATGCTATGGCTAGGCACCACTTGGGAGGCTGAGGCAGGAGGATTTTTGTGAGTTCTAGACCAGCCTGGGCTACATAGTGAGTTCCAGGTCAGTTTCAACTACATAGTGAGAGCTTGTCTCAAAAAAAAAGTTGCTAAATGTTTACCTTTCAGCTTTCTCCTTGACAGATCTGGAGGACCTCAATACTGTTTTGTATACCTAAAATGTACCAGTAAACTCAATAAGAAAAAAAAAAAGATGTATGCTTTGAAAAACTAAAACACCCCCACCAAAAAAAATTTCACAGCATTTAATTGTATGAAAGCATATTCCATAACTAAAAGAATGCTTGCTGGTTAGAAGGAATGATATCTTCCATTCATTTATTAAATGAAACATTACTTAATGCCTGTTATATTCTAGATACTGAAGAAATGAAGATAAACAAATTTCATCTTAACCTTACAAAGGCCATAGCCCTGCAGGGTGCAAACATGCAAGTCAAAATTACAATGCAATGTAATAGAGTTTATAATGAAGGTGCACATATGACCATTCATGGTGATGCACACCTGTAATCCCAGCACTCCTGGAGGCTGAGGCAGGAGGATTACAAGCTGGAGCAGCCTAATGATTTAGCAAGACCTTTGCTCAATACAAAAAATGTTAAAAGGATAGCTCAGTGTGAAGTCCCTGGGCTTAGTTCCCTAGTGCCTTAAAAATAACAACAAAAAAGTATATAAAGTGCCATAGACACCCAAAAGAAATGACTGCCAGTATAAACTCCATAAAGGCAGAAACTGTTGATCTTATTTAGGATTGTATCCCAACACCTAGCATTTGAAAAAGTCAACTAATATCTGTAAGACAAAAGTAACAAAATCTTAGCTGGACAGAATGCCACATGCCTCTAATCCCAGCACTCTGGGAGGCTGAGGCAAAAGGATCACAAGCTCAGAAGATGGAGGACAGAAAGCCAGGCTTGTGGCTTGTGGATGGAGAAGGGAAATAAAATGAATGGATAGAGGTTTTCTGAAAAAGTTCTCATGGCTCTAATGAGATTTACTCCCCAACCCACCCAGGAAACCAGGAGATTACTACTTCCTGGAGATTCTTATAAATGCATTCAGAATGTTTTTTATAGGAGTAGGAATGTAACTCAGTGGTACCACTCTTGCCTAGAATTCTCAAGGCCCTGAGTTTGATCCCTAGTACTGCAGGAAGAAAACATTAAAATAAAAGAATGTTTCATTTTAAGTGTTTGTTTGTTTGTTTAAAGCCCAGAGCCAGGGATTTAGCTCAGCTGAACAGCACCTGCTTGGAAATTGTGAGGTCCTGAGTTTGATTCCTGGTACCAAAGAATAAAAATTAATTAATAGCCCAGCACAATTGTGCGTGCCTGTAATCCCAACACTTTAGAAGGCTGAGGTGAGAGGATTCCAGGTCAAACCCACTATGGGAAATTTAGCAATGTAGCATTACACTGTCTCAAAATTTTAAAAAAACTTTAGAAAAGGCTAGGGATGTAGCTCAGAGTGGAAGCCCTGGGTTTAAACCTTAGTACCACAAACAAATGAACAACCCACTGACTGTTTCATAACCCTGCTTAGCCTTCCCTCATTAGCATGGGGGAGAAGTGATATAACAAGGGTAACATATGTCTCCCAAGCTTCTTAGAACAATTTATAAAAATATCCTATTGATTCAGGACCTGACAGTGTGTCCAGTAGGATGCTACCAAGAATCTGCCCCTCTGAGAGGGCGGTGGCTCTGTGCACTGTCGCCTTTGCCATTAGCGGAGCCTCTGCAGGTGCGGGGCGGGAGGAAATTCTGCAGCCAGTCAGATGGGAGAACTGAACAAGAGCACAGCTGCATACCAAGTGCAGAAAGGTTAGGGGAGTGCAGGGAAGCGGAATCAATGTGTATTTTCAAGGCTGATTGTTCCTATTCAAATGTAAGTTTGAAGGGAAAGAGGCCCAGGCCTTGAGACCATTTTAATTTCTGTTACTTGAATAACATCTTTGTTCCTCAGGTAGCAACAACTAAAACCAGCAAAGCCTTTCTGGAGCTTGAGACCAAACTAGCTTGGACTAAATTTTCCTTAGAAAAGGATATGGATTAAAATATGAATATGCTCAATGATGTTTTCAAATATCCGTATCTTGGGCTTGGGGTCATGGTTATTATATAGCACCTGTTTTAGCTACTGTATACCATAGTCTGTTAAAACAAAATTGATCTTCAAAAACTTATAGATCTGGACTCTATACAGTATTGCGTTACCTTAGGTGGATGATCTAAGTTTTTTAACCTCAGTTTATTCTTGTATAAAAATGGGAATAAAATCCTCCTTATTCAGGGTAATATTTTGGGGGATAGTGAACATTAACAGAAGATGTATATGAAGGTATGTAAAAGTAAAAGAGGATTCAATAAATTGCTAATGGCTATCACGCCTTTCCATGATAGTACACACTGTCTCCAGATGCAGAGTGTACCTTTATCTTTGCTCTATCTCTCTTTTTCTATTCGCTCGGTCCAAGCTTGTGCTGCAGAGCCAGTTTTTCTCCCACTCTTCACTTTTGCTTTCTTAAATAAACTTGCCACGGCTAAGTAAATAAATAAATAAATACCTAATGCTGTTTCCTCCTCCCACAACTATCTCACCTAGATGTTCAGCAAATGTTGCTGGTAAAGAAACATCCTTTTAAACGAGGCAAGGTGGTGCACACTGTATTGCTTTCACAGCCTGGCTTTCTGTCCGATAGCCCTCAGCAGCAGCATTCACTGTATTTTTGATCACACCTCATAAAGACATTCAGGAAAGAGGACTTCCGGAACTTCTTCAGAAAGTGCAAGAAAGCTAAGTGTGGTGATATGCACCTGTAATTCCAGCACTCAGGAGGCTGAAGCAGGAAGATTGCCATGAGTTCAAGGCCAGCCTGAAAGACACAGCAAGACCTTGGCGTAAAAAACCAGTAAAAAAAAAAGAAAGAAAGAACAGGAAAGTGGCAACAAGAGTAGGGGAATTAATGGCAATGTGTGTTTCTTAAAATTTAAACATTCACTTACAATTTAAACATCACCCCTTAACACTGAAGGTTTATGTAGTATATATACATTTTCAATAAAAATATTCTTTAAAGTTTCTCCACAGAAATCATGCCCAAGTTCAAACAACGAAGAAGAAAGCTAAAAGCTAAAGCCAAGAGATTAGTCAAAAGAAAAGAAGCCTCTCGATTCCAATCTAAACTACTTACACCTCCTCCTCCACCACCCTCACCAGAAAGGTAAGGTATAATATAGACCAGAGAAAACATTAGAGAGATTTGATAAATTTAGAGTTACCAGATTTAGCAAATAAAAATGTAGAGCATGGAGTCATATTTGAATTTCACCTAAACAATAAATAACCTTTGTTTAAAAATGTCCCCGTTTAACTCTGAATTATACTAAAATTATTCATCCTTTGGCCAAGTACTCACCTGTAATCCCAACTATTTTGGAGGCTGAGCCAAGAGAATTAGAAGTTTGAAACCAGCCTGGGTGACTTAGTGAAACTCTGCCTCAAAACAAAATTTTGGAAGGAACAGGGCTATAACTCAGTGGTAGAATGTTTGTATAGCATGTATAAGGCCCTGGGTTCAAGCCCCAGCATCATATAAAAAACACTTTTTTTTTCATCAGGACATCCTGTACTTTACATGGCAACCATAGTTTGAGAGTTCAGGGCCAGGGATTTAGCTCAGTGTTTCCACCGCCTGCCTCGCAAGCGAAAGGACCCAAGTTCAATCCCCTGTACCAGGAAAAAAAAAGTTCATATGAAAGTTGGGCATGGTGGCGCACGCCTGTAATCCCAGCACTCAGGAGGCTGAGGCAGGAGGATCACTGTGAGTTCAAGACCAGCCTGGGCTACATAGTGAGTTCCAGGTCAGTCTCAACTACATAGTGAGAACTTGTCTCAAAAAACCAAAAAAAAAAAAAAGAGTTCACATGAAAATTGGATAGGGTGTCACCCACGTACAATCCCCACTCAGACAAGAGGATTGCAAATATGAGCCCAACCTGGGCAATTTAACAAGACCCTGTCTTGAAATACTTTTTTAAAATGGAGAAGATGCCAGGGCATAGCTCAGAGATAGAGTGCTTCAAGGCCCTCGAATCAATCCCCAGAAGCACCAAATGAAAGAAAAGTTCAAATGAAGTGAGAATCACAAGAAATTGTGCTTGAGTGCACTCTAACTGTGGTCTCTTTTCCAGGTGACTTTACTTGTGTAAGTCTGGTGATTAAGTGATGAAAGAGAGGCATAGGAATAGAATTTAAATCTTAGATTTGTTAAAGTTTGGTCATTTTTCTCTGGGACTCACAAGTTCAATGCACTATTGAAAGAGAATCCGAATGGTAGAGTGTTGCTTTTTATACTAATATCTATCTCTTTTTTGTTATACCGCTCTCTTTTTAAATGTTATTTATTTATTTATGTTGGTACGCTGGGGATTGAACTCAGGGCCTTGTGCATACATCCCACCCCTGAGCTATACTCCCAGTCTTGTAGCTCTCTTTATAAAAAGCTTTTAAAACAAAAAAGCCCTCCAAAAGAAGTAACTTGCCAGGCATGGTAGTACACGGCTGTAATCCCAGCACTCAGGGGGCTGAGGCAAGAGGATCACTGAGAGTTGAAAGAAAAAAGAAAAACAGTAACTCTCCAATGTCTTACTCTCTCAGAGTAAAACCTAAAATACATAGTATAACCCACCAGGCTTTTAGGATCTAATTCTGACCTTATTTGCTAATCACTTTCCCATCAGTCTTTCTCCCTAGACATCCTGGCCTCCTTGCTATTCCTCAAACACTTCAGGTGAGCTCCCACCTCAGGGCCTTTGCACTTACTGTTGATCTTCTCTGGATCACTGCTCTCTCAGACATTTTTGTTTGCTTCTTTGTTTTTTGTGGTACTGGGGATTGAGCCCAGGGCCTCTGCACTGAGCCATATCCCCAGGTGTGATGGCCTTTTTTGTTTGTTTGTTTGTTTTGTTGTGGTGGTACCAGGGATCAAATTTGAAACCTTGTACTTGCAAGGCAGGCAGCAGAACCCCTGAGCTAAATCCCTGGCCCATTGTACTACTCATCCCTTTTTATTTTTTATTTTGAGACATGGTCTCTTAAATCTCTAAGATGCCTAGGCTGGGTTTGAATGTGCCATCCTCCTGCCTTAGCCTCCTTGAGTCCTGGGATTACATACATGGGCCATCACACCTGGACTCTCAGATATTTGATTGCTAACTTCCTTACTTTTTCATGGTTTTGCTCAAAAGTCACCTTCTCTCCATGACTTTTCTACCTAAAATTTTACTCCATCCAATATTGTGCACACTCCCTTTGCTTTCTTTTTTTTTTTTTTTTTTTTTTTTTTTTTTTTTCTGATACCGAGAATCAAAATTGGTTCCTATGCCTGAAAGCAGGTGACGGAACCACTGAGCTAAATCCCCAGCCCATCCCTTGCTTTCTTTTTCTCCTTAGCATATATTCACTAACAAACTATCTTCATTATTTATTTATTTTTAACTTTCTTCCCCATGAGGTATAAACTCCATGAGTGCAGGGATTTTTATCTGTGTTGTTCATTAATAAATCTTTGGTGCCTAGAATATAGTAACAAAAACAAATTTTTTTTTGAGACAGGGTCTCTATGAGGTCCAGGCTGGGCCTTGAACTCACTATGTAGTTCAGGCTGGCCTCAAACAGCATCAGTCCTCCTGCCTCAGCCTCCTAAGTGCTGAGATTAGAGGTGTGAACCACCACACCCAGCTGAATCCCTGATCTCTAGAATTTAATGAAAAGTTTGGCTTTAGAAAGTCCCTATTCTTGCCAATTGTAGTGGCACAAGCCTGTAATCTCAGCACTTAGGAGGCTGAAGCAGGAGAATTGATGTGTGTTCAAGGCCAGCCTGAACTGCAAAGAGAGACTCTGTCTCAAAACAAAAAAAAGTCCGTGCTCCTGAATCACATTATAAAACCAGCTTCTTGGGGCTGGGGATTGTAGTAGAATAGTAGAGATAATGCTTAATATGCACAATGTCCTGAGTTTAATCCCTAACAGCAATAAAATAAAATAAAAGTAAATAGAATCAAGCCAGGCATGGTAACATGTACTTGTAATCCTAGCACTCGGGAGGCTGAGACAGGAGGATTGCCACCAGTTCGAGGACAGCCTGGGCTAAATAATGAGTTCAAAGCCAGCCTGAACTACATAGCGAGACCCTGTCTCAAAAACAACAACAACAACACAAACACAAAGAAAAAAATAAGTAGAATTGATTTCTTAGGGTTTTTTGACTCACTTTGTTTGACTTTTGTTTTTCCTACAGAACAGTTATTTCTTCAGTAGATCTGCCCGACAGCACAAACTGGCTAAGACCATCGAGGAACTTCAGATTTCCCAACATCAAAGAAGTGATAAAATGTTGGACAAATAGAGTGTGGTCAGTGTACAACTGGTGCCAGAGCTGTGCAGTGCAGGTATGTGTACCTGTTTGCACCAGTATGGTTTTTAGACAGACCTGGGGTTTGTTCATGTGTGCTCGGGTCAGTAGAACACTCAGGCTAAGCTCAGATAAGATGAATTTATGGGGTCTTGTAGGCTTTTCGTTCTGTAAGAAATATGTCAAACCATTTTCTGGTTCCCTCCCCCACCCTTTACCATATTTCTCGTAGGATTCAAACTTGTTTACTATGATTTTCAGAGTTTAGAAGTATTGAAAGATAGCATCTTTCCATCCCGAAGCTTCCAACAAGAACTTCATAATCTAAAACAACAAGTTTGCATTTTGGAAAGTGATTTTTGCAAGCTCCAGGAAACACTGAAGGTTGGTATTGTCAAATAAAAAATAGATTTGCTAGGGTTGGGAGTTTAGCTCAATGGTGCCATGCTTACCTCACTAACACAAGGTCCCGAGTTTGATCCCCAGTACCAGGAAAAAAACAAAACAAAACCCCCAAAATTAAATTTGCCAGATGTGGTGGTACACGCCTGTAACCCCAGCACTTTGGAGGCCGAAGCAAGAGGATCACTGTGAGTTCAAGGCTAGCCTGGTTTACAGAGTGACTTCAAGACCAACCTGAACTACATAGCAAGATCCTGTCTCAAAAAAATCAAAAGCAACCACCACCACAACAACAAAAAAACCCACCCCTGACCAGAAGGCACAAGGTCCTGAGTTTGATTCCCAGTTAGAGAGAGAGATTTTATCCAAAAAGACTATTGTACTAGAGAAAATGCTCAGCCATGGGATCTATAACTATATCTCAAACATTGGGCAAAAAGAGACCAATTCAGTCCTTTTACTATAGAGAAAATACAAATTCGTATTGAAAGGAAAGCAGCAGTCTCTGCCCACCCACACAAAACAGCAATGCACAATAAATTTTAATGAATAACATTTTTGATCCACCAGATTGGCAAAACAAACTAACCAAAAACTGGAAAGCTTTGGAGAAACAGATGCTTTCTTTCTTTGTTTTTTTGTTTTTTTGTTTTGTTTTTTTTTGGTCTAGGGATTGAACTCTGGTCCTTGCGCTTGCAAGGCAGGCAGCGGAACCACTGAGCTAAATCCCCAGCAACAGGTGCTTTCTTAAATTACTGAGAAGAGCATAAACTGGTAAAACCTCTATGGGTATAGTTAGGTAAAATTTATGCAAATTAAAAAAAATACATTAACCTAACCTAACCTAAATTGTTCTGTGATTTGAAATTACAAAAAATTATAGAGCAATATGGCATTAACTGAATAAATAAATTATACTTTACTCAGGCAGTAGAACACTAGGTAGTTGTTAAAAAGGAGGTGGTAACTGGGTATGGTGGCCCATACCTGTAATCCCAGCCGCTCAGAGGCTGAGGTGGGAGAGATCACAAGTTAGAGGTGAGCCTGGGCAATTTATTGAGACTTGCCTCAAAATAAAATTTTAAAAACAGCTGGTGGGCTGGGGTTTGGGTTCAGTGGCACTGCACCTGCTTGGCAAGCATGAGGACCTGAGTTCAATCCCTGGTGCCAAAAAACAAAACAACAGCTGGAGATGAAGTGGAATGGTGGAGCACTTGCCTGCCGTGCTTGAAGCCCCGGATTCAATCAAGTATCAGGGATAGAGGATGGGACAGCATGCTTTTGGGAATGGTCCCTATCAGTTCATGATCCAGGGGAAAGCAACACACTCAAATTAGGATAATTTGAAGAGGCTGAATCAAAGGTATGAACAGGAAAGTGGAAAACACAAAGGATCGCTTAGTATTCTTCTGAGGGTTGCTGTTTATATCAGTTTCCTCGCTACTTCAGGCCTGAGCAGGTCAGAGGAGTGGTAATCAATCGATCAGCACTCGCAGTCCCTCAAGGGTTCTCTCCCAGGAGGAAAAATTTCTCTTGTGAGATCCACGACTCCGATCTCCAGCTCCAAGTCAGGTGACCAGGGGACCTTGAAATGTGATCTCTGTGGTAGAGCCTCTTGCGTCCCAGAAAAAATAGAGAAGCAAATAAAACATCATTCTGCCCCAGTACACAAGAAATGAGTAACATTCTTTGCCTCTGGAGAGGTGGTTAGGTAGCTGGAGTCAAGGGAAGGAGGGGACTTGATTTTACACTGTGTACTCTTTTCATCTTCTAAGTTTTGTGTCCTGTACCTGTAATACCTATTCAATAATAAATGTAGAAAAGAATTTTTAAAACATAAAATTCATTGACCAACTGAGATTTGGGCTCTAGAAGTGTAGAACTACACAAGTGAATTTGTTGCTATTTTGAATTCCTGTAATTGTATAACTTCCTTTCCAGAGCACTTTGCTGCTGGTATCTAAGAAATGATTGAAATAGATTCTTCTATTTTCATTCTTCTATTTTTTTTTTTTGGCGGTGCTGGGAATTGGATCCAGAGCTTCAAGAATGCGAGGCAAGGGCCAGGGATCTAGCTCAGTGGTTCCACCACCTGCCTCTCAAGTGCAAGGACCCAAGTTCAATCCCTGGTACCCCCCCCACACAAAAAAGAATGCAATGCAGATGCTTTGCTACTGTATTTTGTTTTATTTTATTTTTTAAAAATAGGGTCTCACGATGTATTCCAGGCTGATCTTTAACTCACTGTGTAGTCCAGGTTGGCCTCAATCTTGTAGTGATCCTCCTGCCTCAGCCTCCCAAGTGCTGGGATTACAAATATGTGCCACTACAACTGGTCCAGTCTCCTCTTTTTTTTTTTCTTTTATTGAGTTTATTGGTACATTTTAGGTATACAGTGCAATTACATTCATCATTGGGATCTTGTACCTTTACATGACAGGTCTTGGTTCTCATTTTTTCCCCCTTGTCCGTGTCCTCCCTCCTCCCCTCCCCATTTACAAACACTTTATTTCCATTTTTTCATTTTGTCATATTGTTTTCTTTTCCCTTATTCCCTTTCCCCTACCCTTCCCATTTTCCCTACACCTTTAGCCCTTTTCTTACTATTTCACATGGTCAATTATCTCATTAGGATCTTATGTACTATCCAGTCTCCTCTTTTAAATACACAAAGTGGTATCAATTTTTCTTGTGGAGGGCCAGGGATTTAGCTCAGTGGTGCCACTGCCTGCCACGCAAGTAAAAGGTCTTGGAGTCCCAGGACCAAAAAAAAAAAAAAGATCCTATTAAAGAGTAAAAACAATTTCCTCATGGATATGTGAAGGAGAAAAAATAAATATGCTTTCTTTTTTTTTTTTGGTACTGGGGATCGAACTCCAGTCCTTGGGCTTGCAAGGCAGGCGCTAGAATGTTTGAGCTAAATCCCTGGCCCTAATATGCATTCTAAACTCCCCTAAGTAAGGTCTTTTTTTTTTTTTTTTTTTTTGGAAAATATCACTATGTAATTCAGGCTGGCCTTGAACTCACAGCAATCCTTCTGCCTCAGCCTCTCAAATGCTGGGATTACAGGTTTGTACAACCAAGCCCAGTTTAGCCCTCTATTCTCAGTAACTCAGTATTTTGCTTATTGATCTGGAGAGAAGCTTCTGGGATTCTACTTCCAGAATTTGTACCTCAAAATAAACTAGCCTCATAAGGAAAAAGAAAGTCATTTGTCTCCTCTGGGCCTTAGTTTTCTCATCTATAAAATGGGCATGATTCCAACTATAGGGGGCTAACTAGATAATGGCCTCCAAAACATTATGTTCAAGTTGTAATTACACCAACCTGTAAAAATTACCTTATTTGGGGAAAAAGAATCTTTATAATGTAATTAAGGATTTTGAGATGAGATCTTGGTTTACTGGGTGGACCCTAAATCTAATGACAAGTGTCCTTGGAAGAGAAACACACAGAAGAGAATATACACAAAGAAGAGGAGGTGCAGTGTGAGCAGGGAGTCAAGAAATCAGAGTGAAAAAAAAAAAAACATAATAATAAAGGCCAGGCGTGGTGGTGCACACCTGTAATCCCAGCACTTGGGAGGCTGAGGCAGGAGGATTGCTGTGAGTTTGAGACCAGCCTGGGCTACATAGTGAGGTCCAGGTTAGTCTCAACTACGTAGTGAGACCCTGTTTCAAAAAACCAAAAAAGAAAAGAAATCAGAGTGATCAGTTACAAACCAAGGAATGCCAACAACTAGCAGAAGTTGCAAGAGCCAAGAAATGGCTTTTCTCTAGAGCCTTGAGAGGGAGCACAGGTTAGGAACACCTTGATCTCAGGTTTCCAGCCAGAAGCACTGTGAAAATATAAATTATTATTTTAAACAACCCAGTTCCTGATAACTTGTTAGAGTGGTCACTAAAAATTAATACGCCAACTTATTTCCTAGGGTATCATATTGCTATGGCTACCGCAATGAACACCACAGATCAGATGGCTTATCCAACAGAAATTTATTTTTTTTCACAGTTTGGAGGCAGAAATCTGAAATCAAGGTGTTAGCAAGGTTGGTTTCTTCTGAAGAGCCTTGATCCTTAGCTTGCAGATGGCTGCCACCATTTCCTGGGTTCCCATATGAGGTTTCCCCTTGTAAGAGCTATATCATTTCCTCTGATAAGAACACTAGTTAGATTGGATTGGTGTCTACCCTAATGGTCTCATTTTAACTAATCACTTCTTTGAAGGCCTTATATACAAGTATAGTACCATTTTGAACTACTAGATGTTAAGATATCAAAATATAAATTTGGACTGGGCATGGTGGTGTACCTCTGTAGTCCCAGCACTCAGGAGGCTGAGGCAGGAGGATCATGGCCAGCCTGGGCTACATAGTGAGTTCAAGTCCAGCCTGGAATGCATAACAAGACCCTGTCTCAAAAAAAACAAACAAAAAAAGGGGGCAAGGATTTAGCCACGCCTGCCTTGCAAGTGCAAGGTCCTGAATTCGATCCCTGGTACCAAAAAAGAAAAAAATATATGTATGAATTTGACAGCATAAGCCAGTTCCAAATGGTCATGTTCCAGTCTGTTGGGCTTTTTTTTTTTTTTTTTTTTTATACCAGGGATCAAACTCAGGACCTTTTGAGGCAGGCAGTGGGACCATTAAGCTAAATCCCTGGCCCTCTGTTGGGCTTTTTAACAATACCTCAAATGTATACATTCTTGGTTAATTATATTTTACTCTGGGAGAAATACTTTCCCTGATCCTCATTTCCCTCTGACAAGTCTCGATTGATTTTTTTTTTTTTCTTTTTTCTTTTTTGTGGTACTGGGCATTGAGCCCAGGGGCCTTTGCAACTGAGCTGCATCCCTGGTCCTTTTTCTCTTTTCTTTCTTTTTAAATTTTAAGATAGGGTCTCACTAAGTGGCTATGCCGGGCCCAAACTTCAGATCCTCCTGCCTTAACCTTCCAGAGAGCTGGGATTACAGAAGAGTGCCACCAAGTTCATTCTTTTCACTGTCACTCCCCACGACTCGAGCTGTCCGTGCTCAGAGAACACTTCATTGCTCTTACCAAGGTGTTACTTTGTTTGGATTTTAATGTTTATGCATGTTTAATTTCTATCTTCAAAGGCATAGTCAGGCTCATATACGAATGAATGAATGAAATGGCCAAATTTGTGATAAGTAAATGAGAAAATACTGTGCTCTCTTTGGCAACGCATATACTAGATGAGAAAATATGAAGCACATAACTCATTGAAAAAACATTCAATATGTGCAGGCTTTTATATTGATGACTGTAGGGTATGAGAAGCAAATTAACACGTTATTCATTTGCCAAATGTAACGTCTTCTTCCAGACCATCAAGGAAAAGTCCTGTCCAAGCTGTGGTCAACAGCGTCCCACAACTGGTAAAGTTACAAACGTGCCTGCCTGTGCTCTCACCAGCCCTGGAGACTCAAAACATTCAATATGTGCAGGCTTTTATATTGATGACTGTAGGGTATGAGAAGCAAATTAACACGTTATTCATTTGCCAAATGTAACGTCTTCTTCCAGACCATCAAGGAAAAGTCCTGTCCAAGCTGTGGTCAACAGCGTCCCACAACTGGTAAAGTTACAAACGTGCCTGCCTGTGCTCTCACCAGCCCTGGAGACTCGAGACTCATAGGAAACGATGAGTAATAGTGGCCTTTGGTAAATGTGTGATACAGGAGAAAGGTGAAGTGGCCTTTTGCAGCTTTGCCGAAGGCTTGGAGAGGAAGGCCATATTTTGTTCAGATTCCATATCTTAATTTCATCAATTATCGTGATTGTTTGTTTGGAGATGCAGTTTTACTAAATTTCCCAGGCTAGTATTGAACTGCTGGGCTAAAATAATTGTCCTTGGGCTGGGGATTTAGCTCAGCGGTTCTGCTGCCTGCCTTGCAAGCGCAAGGACCCAAATTCAATCCCCGGTACCAATAAATAAATAAATTAATAAATAAAATAAAATAAAATAATTGTCCTGCCTCAGCTGCCCAAGTAGCTGAGACTACAGGCACCTGCCATCACACAGAAAGGAATGAAACCCCGTAATTTAGAAGATTCTTATTGACTATTGAGCATATCTTTTTACCAAAAGAAAAACATGCCTAGGAAACCAAGTTAAGAAAAAAAAAAAATTGCTTAGTGAGTGAAGTCAGAACAAAAAGAGTTGGTGGATTATAATGGCTTAACATCATGAGGCTGGAGGACCAGTATTTGTTACCATTCCTTCTGTCCTCGAGATTAGGATATTTGTGAATCACTAAGATAGGTATGACTCTTTCAAAACCTGAATTTTCATCCGGGTATGGTGGCACACACCTGTAATCCCAGCTCTCGGCAGGCTGAGGAAGGAGGATCGCAGTGATTTTGAGGCTAACCTGGGCTACAAAGTGAGACCCTGTCTCAAAAATAAATAAATAAATAAATAAATAAATAAATCTGAATTTTTAGTGCGTATACAATTGGTTTAAAATACCTGAATTAAAGCCAGGCATGTTGGTGTATGCCTGTAATCTCAGCTATTTGGGAGATTAAGGCAAGAGGATTTCAAATTCTTGGTCTGTGTGGGCAAGTCACTAAAATCCTGTCTCAAAATGTAAAAGAAGCAGGGGAGGGAGCAGCATCCATGTTGCGATGTAGCTCAGTGACAGAGCATTTGCCCAGCATGCACGAAACCCTGGGTTCAATTCCCAGAACCAAAAAACATCCAGAGTCTTTTGTTACATTTGCAATAATGTGTGCCTCTCTGACTACATTTACTTGCTCTATAGGAACCAAATCATTTTCTTTTCCAAGTAATTAAGGCAAGATTTCACATGGATCTTAGTAACTCATTTATTTGTTTGTTTGTTTTTGGTACTGGGGATTGAACTCAGGACTTTGTGTTTTCAAGGCAGGCAGGCACCACTGGGCTAAATCCCTGGCTTGAATCTGAGTAACTCTTTCGCCTCCTGTGGAGGATACTTTTTTGGTTGTTTTGAAATAGGGTCTCATTATGTAGCCCAGGCTGGCTCAAACTTGCAGCAATCTTCCTGACTCAGCTTCCCAAGCACCAGGATTACAGATTTGTACCACCACACCTGGCGTGGAAGTTGTATTCTTGGAGGGAACTAGTCCATCTCTTATTTATTGTCAAAGTCTTCCATTTTGATGAATACTTTTCAGTATCTTGGGGTACTGAAAATAGGATCTTTCTTGCTTGAGTGAATTTTGGTTGGTTCTTATGGTAAATAAGAGTTCACGTTGGGCCAGGCCTTGCAGATGCAAGGTCCTGAGTTCAATCCCCAGTACTGGAAAAAAAGAATTCACTTTTAACTTTGAATCTTTAAAAAGTTAGACTTGGAATTGCATTTCACCAGATGTCCTGGTTCCAATTTAAATTCTGATTTCTTTGTGTATTTTAAGGCTAAACCATTAAGAAAAGATGGACCCATGCAGATAACAGTTAAAGATCTACTGACTGTGAAATTAAGGAAGATACAGTGTACCGATGAAAAGAGGAAGGTAAACTGTCATTCACCATTTGCATGGTCTTCCTGCTTTTAACCTGGTTGTTCCTTTGTGGGAAATAAGCATATAATTTATGTATGGAAGTCAACCCAAATTCAGTATTTGATATTTCATTTTAGTAGTTCAGAATCTCTTCAACAAAATATATGTCCCCAAATTCATTCTTTCTTATTTTATTTTATAAAAAAATAAAATTTCCTAAGTAAATAATAAGAGAATAACAATAGTTAATACACTATGTATCATTATCATTAAAGTAGTTATTCAGAGTACAAGACACAGACCAAAAAGATTCTTATAAAGAAGAAACAAATAGAAAATAACAAAACTTTCTTTAAAAGGACTAAGATAAACTAGTAGCATAAATGAAACAAGTTAGTATATATATATATATATATATATATATGTGTGTAAATAGTTTTGAAACAATGGAATATGTAATTTGGGGAAATATTTGAATGTCTCCCTACTTCCTATTTCCTCTCTCTTTTATTTTGCGCTTTATTTATACATATTTATTTATATATAAGAGAAACCATGGAATATTTAAGTTTATATGTCTGACTTAATTCACTTAACATTATGTTCTCAAATTACACCCGTTTATCTGCCTTTATAGCTTTTTTTGTTTTGTTTTGTTTTTTGGTACCAGGGATCGAACTCGGGACCTTGTGCTTGCAAGGCAGGCAGTGGCACCACTGAGCTAAATCCCCAGTCTTTCTTTATGATAGCATAAAAGTAACTGTATCCACAATAGGATTATAAAGAGGCACACTGCACCCATAGTTCCTTGATTCTAGACATACTAGTTTTCGTATTTTACTATTTCTGAAATTAGGCTATTCCATTGTGTATAAATACCACATTTTTCTTATTCATTCATCTGTCCAAAATTATTTAAATAGGCAATTTTATCTACCAACCATTACTCTGAAGAGATAGAAACATACTTTGAAGCTTTGGACTAAAAATCAGATATTTACTGTTTTAGCATGTTTAAATTTTGAATGATGTTTTAAAATATGTTTCTAATAATGTCTCATTTTATGATTAAAGCTTATACCATCACCAAAGGCACGGAATCCACTGTTTACTGTCTCTGACCTGCAGCGTGTTACCCTGAAACCTAACTCCAAAGTGTTGTCAACACGAGTTACAAATGTCTTAATGTAAGAAACTACACATTACTGCTACTTAAAAGAATGATTTTTGTTGCTTGGACTTCTAACTTTAAAAGTCACATATGCTTATTATAGAAAAATTGAAATGTGTAGCATATTTTTTTTTCTGAGATGGGGTCCAGTTCAGGCTGACCTTGAACTCACTGTGTAGTCCAGACTGTCCTTGAATGTGTGGTGATCTTCATGCCTCAGCCTCTAAGTGCTGGGATTATAGGCATGTGCCACCACATTCAGCTAAAAATTATCTAGATAATTTGACAAAAATTTAACTTTGTTTTGTTTTGTGAGACAGAGTCTTGCTATGTAGCTCAGGCTGGTCTCAAACTCACAGTGATCCTCCTGCCTCAACCTCCTGAGTTCAGGGATTACAGGTGTGCGCCACCACACCCAGCTTCAAAAATTGAGCAACTCTTTTAACTTTTTTTTTTCAGAATACTATCATTGCATACAGCCACTGTTAACATACTGTTTTTTAATCATTATAATCTTTTTCTGGACATATAATATGCTATGACTTCTACTTCAAAATGCTGTCTATTGTACAATATGCTATTGATTTAATAACAGACTTTGTAGCCAGAGGATGTAACTCAGTGGTGGAATACTTACATATCAGGTGTGAGACCCTGGGCTTGATCCTTAGCACTAAAAAAAAATAAGCAAACAAACACATTTTATGAGGAAAAAGAAATATTGTCAAAAGCCAGGCATCGTGGGGCACACCTGTGATCCCAGCACTGGGGAGGCTGAGGCAGAAGGATCACCATGAGTTTGAGAGCAGCCTGGGCTACATAGTGAGTTCACTTGGTCTTAGCCAAAAGGCCAAGAAGCGATATATAGTGAGTTCAAGACCAGCCTAGATCACATAGTGAGACCCTGTCTCAAAACAACAACAAAAAAAAAACTGTTAAGAATTTTCAGAACAGCCTGATTTCAGAAATAATAAAAGATAAAAACAAGTATGTCTAGAATCAAGGAACTACGGGTGGAGTGTGCCTCTTTATAACCCTAGGGTGGATACAGTTACAGCTTCCCCTTTATAATATGTCATGAATTTTTCTTTACATTATTACAAGTTAGTTTGAAGAGTCATTCTTACTTCTTTAATATACATAGCTCCTTGTATATAAATTTCATAGACACAATCCTATTTAGGTGGTTTATGATAAGCACCCTTGTCCATCAAATGCATGCACAGATGTATTATTGGGTGAAAAATTGTGACTTGGTTGAGTGGAGTGGCACTCACCTATAACACCAGCTACTCAGGAGGCTAAGGTGGGAGGATCATGAGTTCAAGGCCAGCCTTGGCAACTTAGTGAGATCCTATCTTGATAAACAAACAAACAAAAAAGCAGTAAATGAAGTATTGGGCTTTGGGCTGGGGATAGAGCTCAGTGGAAGAGCACTGGTTTGGCATGCATGAGTCCTTGACTTTGAACCCTGGCACTGTCAAGAAGAAAAGAAAGTATTCGTTATTAGAATGCGTACACAGTATGTGTCATTGTCAGTTTTCCATCACTGTAACAAAATACCTGAGAAAGTCAGTTTAAAGAAGAAAAGGTTTTTTAAAAAATTAAAAATCAATAAATGAAAACTTTTTTAAAAAGAAGAAAAAGGTTTACTTTATCTTATGATTTTTATAGGCTCAGTCCATGCTCAGCTGACTCCATTGCTTTTAGGCCCATATGGGGCACAAACGTCATGGTGGAAGAGAGTAGCAGAGAAATGCCGCTCACCTCAGGGCAACCAGGAAGGAGACAAACACACAGACAGACAGACAGACAGACACAGACATGCAGGGGGCCAGGGAAACGATACATCTTTCAAAAACATGCCCCTCAGTAACGACTTCCTCCAACCAGGGCCCACCTTCTAAACGTTCATGCAGTCATGAACTCATGAGTGGACAAGTGTGTTGATGGGGTTGGGCCTCGCGCAGTCCTGTCACCCTCAAGGCCCCACCTCTGAACATTGCTGCATTTGGGATCAAACTTTCAAGATATGAGTCTTTAGGGATTTTTTTTTTTTTTTTTTTTTTTTTTATCAGTACTGAGCATTGAACCCAAGGCGTTTGCACTCAGCTACATGCCCAGCCTTCCAAATTTTTTGTTTATTTGAAACAGTCTTGCCTAGTTGTTATGTTGTCCTCTTAGAGTCTGGGATTACAGGTGTGTGCTACCACAGCAGTCTGTCTACTTAAACCACAATAGTATCATTTTATTTTCCTGTCAGCGTCTACTCCCTTTCTTGTGTGTATGTGGCACTGGGGATGGAATCCAGGGCCTCCTGAATGCTGGGCCAGCACTCTACCACTAAGCTGCCTCCCCAGCCTGTGTTGTGTTTTATGTTTTGCTTTGGAATTTTCTTCCGTGTTATTTTTTTTAATGAAAAGCAGAATTAAATTTTAGGATGTTGTCTATAGAGATGACTACTTTGTTTGGGAGGATGATGAAATGTGGCAGGTTCTAATGTTTATGTTTTATTTTATCAGTACTCCAGGTAAAAGCCAGGTAGATCTTCGGAAGCTTCTAAGGAAGGTTGACGTGGAGAGGTAATATAGTCTCTGATCTTTATGTTTTCCAAATCCATTTGAAAAGTAGGCATAAAACACAGCTCCTAAGATTTTTAATATCTTTGCAGGAGCCCAGGGGGAACTCCTCTGGTCAATAAGGAAAATATGGAAACAGGAACTGGCCTTACCCCTGTAATGACCCGGGCTTTGAGGAAAAAATTTCAGGTAAGCTTTTAAGAAAAAAAAAAGTGTATCACTTCTCGGCCTTTTTGCTAAGATCAAGTATAAAACAATTTTATTTTTCTTGAAAATTATTTATTTGTTTTTAATAAATTTTATTTTATCCCATTTCCCTCCTCTGCTTATGCCGCCTCCCTTCCTATGTACAAAAGCTTTGTTTCCTTATTTTCCCTTCTATTGAAAATAATTTATATAGGGACTAAGGGGCTAGTCAGTGGCTAGTCACATATGCTTAGCATATGTGAGACTCTGGGCTCAATTCCTAGCACTGCTAACTAACTAAATAAAACACTTTATTTTATTTATTATTATTAATTATTTTTTGTTTTGTTTTTTGGTTTTTTGAGACAGGGTCTCACTATGTAGTTCAAGCCAGCCATGAAATATGTATTTCAGTCTGGCCTTGAATTCACAGCAATTCTCCTGCCTCAGCCTCCCAAGTGCTGGGATTACAGGGAAACACTTTATTTAGAATCACAATCTAAAGTAGCTATTGTTTTTTGTTTTTGAGACAGGGTCTCACTATGTAGTTCAAGCCAGCCATGAAATATGTATTTCAGTCTGGCCTTGAATTCACAGCAATTCTCCTGCCTCAGCCTCCCAAGTGCTGGGATTACAGGGAAACACTTTATTTAGAATCACAATCTAAAGTAGCTTTCTAAATGATAATAATGATAATTTTATGGCATCTTATGCTTTTCAGAGAACTTTAATAATTAGGTTTCATAAAATTCTACTCCCCTCCCTCACTTTTTTTCACCTTTTAAAATAGGGTTTCCAATGTAGTCCAAGCCAGCCTTGAACTTGTAACATAGCTCATAGGCCTCAAACTTGTAATCCTCCTGCCTCAGCTTCTCAGAGTGCTGAGATTACAAGTGTACACCACTATGCCTGGCTTAGACTTCGTAAAATTCCTTGAGAAAAAGAGAGAAGAGCATTCTATATGATGTAGCTAGGATTATCGTCTCCACTTCCTCAGTGATTACCTGCTTTTATTTTATTTTATTTATTTATTTTTAGACAGAGTCTTGCTATGTAGTTCAGACTGGCCTTGAACTCACTATGTAGCCCAGGCTGGCCTCAAACTCAGTGATCCTCCTGCCTTAGTTTCTCGGGTGCTGAGATTACAGGTGTGCACCACTATGCCTGGTGTTCAGTTCCTTTAATACATTGTTATTTTTGTTTTGTTTTGTTTTTTGTTTTTCGTACCAGGGATTGAACTCAGAACCTTGTGCTCGTAAGGCAGGCGGCAGCACCACTGAGCTAAATCCCTCACCCCAGTTTCTTTAGTATTTTTTGGCCAGGCGTGGTGGTGCACGCCTGTCATCCCAGCACTCGGGAGGCTGAGGCAGGAGGATCACTGTGAGTTCGAGACCATCCTGGGCTACACAGTGAGTTCCAGATCAGTCTCAACTACATAGTGAGACCCTGTCTCAAAAAAAGAAAAACCCAAAAACAAAAACAAAGTATTTTTTAAGGGCCTCCTTTAAGCTAGGCACTGTGCTAGAGTGCTATGGTTACGATTCGCAAAAGCAGACACAGATTTGCTGGCTTGGAACTTCCATTCTAGGAGGGAAGGTAGACAGTGAGATAATCCCATCTTGTTTCCTTTTGCATTGTACGAAGCCCTATGAAAACAATGACCAAGTTTCTGTGGGAACCCATAGAGGAACTTGATGATTAAGAAGGATTTCTCTAGGAAGTGATGGCGCCCGAAGTGAGACTTGGGAGATGATTAGGCATTAACTGGGAAGGGGTGGGCCCACCGTGAATGTCACAGGGAGAAAGTCCCGAGCGCAGTGAACAGTGTGTGTGAGGGTCCCATGCTGAGAGGGGTCATAGACTATTCCAAGAGACTGTGGCTGTGACACGGGGATGAGGGATCCTGATCCAAACCTGTTTGTCCTGTTCACCCTCTTGAACACTGCTGTCACCGGACCTGTGAAGAGCGGCCTTATTCTGTTTCCCCTGCTGGAGGCCTGGGACCCTGGGCTCCGGGCTCTTTGACTTGAAATAGTTTCTTCTGTTTCTGGACCAGAGACACCACGGACTCCACTGCCTGCACCCTCCCACCCCAACACTGTCTTTCCTTTGTTCGTCACTTAAAGTGTCTGCCAGGTGTGATGATGGTGCCTACCTATAATCCCAGAACTCTAGGAGGCTGAGGCAGGAGGATCACAAATTCAGGCTTGACCTGATTAATTTAGTGATTTAGTGAAACCTTGTCTCAAAAAGAAAAATTTAAAAAGTTTTTTCACGGGGTAGTGTCATAGCTCAGTACAAAGGCCCTAGGTTCAATCCCCAGTGCCGGTGTCTTGTTGGTGTCTGTTCCTCTTGGCAATCAGTTTGGTCCTTCTTGACACTCGATGGTCTTGGATGTGTGACCAAGTTCCTTCCTCCTCTTGGAGCATCCAGCTAGGTTCTACACACACACACACACACACACACACACACACACATATCACAGTATGCCTTGGTGATAGTAAACATCGTGAAAGGCAGGGGGCAAAGGGAAGAGGCCTCCCTAAAGGACTCAGCTCCTTGCTTCTTCTGTCCCACTCCATAATTAGTACAATCTGTTGGGAAATATGGAAACAGATAAAAATACCACATACAAAATTTCCACCCAGCCCTTAGGCTCTTTTTCCTTTAACTCTGAGGCAACTGTTTGCATTTGACTATGGATAACGGTAATGTGGCAACAGTGGCTTCATTAAAGAGAGATTTTTTTTCTTTCTCTCTGCCTCTCTCTCTCTCTCAGTCTTTCTCTCCCCGCCTCCCCCTCCCTCTCCCTTTCTTTTTCCTGCCATGCTAGGATTTGAACTGAGGGCCTTGTGTGTAACAAGGAAGCACTTTTAGCACTGAGCTGTACCTCCAGCTCTCTTTCTGTGTGTGTGTGTGTGTGTGTGTGTGTGTGTGTGTGTGGTGCTGACACATGCTAGGCAAGTGCTTTACCACTGAGCTATATCCCAGCTCCCTCACCCCTTTTCGGGTAGTGTATGTGGTTTTAAGGATTGAACCCAGGGTATTCTCACTGAGCTAAGTCCCTATCCTTTTTATCTTATATTTTGAGACAGGGTCTTGCTAAGTTGCCTAGGCTGGGCTCAAACTAGCAATCCTTCTGCCTCAGTCTCTCAGGTAGCCAGGACTACAGGAATATGCCACCATACCTTCTTTTCTTTTTTTGGTTTTTGTTTTGAGATAAGGTCTTGCTATGTATTCCAGGCTGACCTTGAACTTACTATATGTAGCCCATGCTGACTCATATTTGTGGCCATCCTCCTGCCTCAGCCTCCTGCGTGCTAGGATTATAAGTGTGAGCCACCACTCCCTGCTCCTCATATCTTTGGAGAGGTTCTAACCAGGAATTTTGGATTGCATTAGGAAAACTGGGAAAAGTGATTTTTAGACTCTACACACTGTGCTATCCTGAATAACAACAACAACAAATTGGGTTCTGTTAATGAGGAATGAGAGTTGTGTTGGACATGAGAACATAACTCTTTTTTTTTTTCATCCATAGCTGGCTCACCCTATAAGCCCAACTCAAACTCTGCCACTTTCTACAAGCAGCTTCGATGAACAAAACTGATGCCAACTGATGTCGACTCTCCATCTGATGATCTATCCAATGTACAGATAAAATCACCCACATCTTTTCTTAACATACAATGTGCTTAAATATACTAATTCCATCTAAAGACTCAGAGTATGTATGGAACCTGTGCATATTGTGCGTTATTGGGTGTTTTCTAATTTGCAGGATGGTGAAAGAACCAGATGGGAAAATACAGTCCGCAAAGTGGTGTTTAACCTGGACTCGCCCAACTTAGGTTGCATTGAGGTTGTTGAAATTTAACTAACTCCAGTTTATATTGTACAGGTGCAATTAGGACTTTGAAAGAAAAAAAAGCGGGGACCGGGGATTTTAACTTAGTGGTTCTGCTGCCTTGCAAGTACAAGGGCCCAAGTTTGATTCCCTGGTACTGCCCCAAAAGAAAAAAGGCTGAAGCTGGGTGTGGTGGTGCGTGCCTATGGTTCTAGCTACTCAGGACGCTAAGGCAGAAGCATTAAAAATTCAAACTAACTTAGTGACACCCTACCTCAAAATAAGTCTGATCATAATCAGGCACAGTAGATGCCTATAGTCTGAGCTACTTAGGAGGCTAAGGCAGGAAGATCAGTTGAGCTGACAAGTTTATGACCAGCATGGGCAACATAGTGAAATGATAATAGTCTGATTCCTATTCATCCTATTTATTTCAGGCAACTGAAAAGACATTTTTAGGGTAGGGGATTGAAACAGGGTTTTGCTATGCAGTTCAGGCTGGCCTTAGACTTACTGTTTAGCCCAAGCTGGCCTCAAACTCTCAGTGATCCCCTTGGCTCAGCATCCTAAGTTCTAGGATTATAGGTACACGCCACCATGCCCAGCCTGAAAAGGCTTTTGTCCCATAAAGCTTGCTTGCTTGCTACAAATGTGATCTACAAAATAGACCTTCTAGATTTTATTTGCATAGAAATAAATCAGACCACTCCTCATCCAAATATAACTATTTTCCAAAAAATCTGAAGCAAAGGGCCTAACATGACCTTAAAAATGGTAACGTATCATTTCTAGAACCCTGGGTAGGTAGCTCTGTCTGACTTGCTGTAGTCTGAGATATTCCTTACTCCTTTTGTTGATGTTAGTGCTAGAGATGGAACCCAAAACTTCTAATGCTAAGCGTGTGTTCTACCATTGAACTAGACTGCAGTCCTTATATTCCCTACTTTTCTATTTGCTGTCCACATGCACATAGCTAAATAAAAATTTCATGAAGTCTCCAACATGAACCTTCTGTTTCCCACAGCAACCTGCCATGTATTTTCTGAAGTCCATGATAGGTTCACTGTGAGACCCAGTTCCCTGTTCTCATCAGCTTGTATATTCAGTAACAATATAAATGCACATTGCACTGGATTTTATTCTCTTTCCAGTCTAAACTTGTCAAATTTAGCAAATAAGAATGTAAGATGCCCAACTAAATCAGATTAATAATTGACTGCTAAGTATAAATATGTCACATAAAATAGCAAGGCTTTTTTTGAGGGATTCCTGGAGATACAAGCATGCACTCTACCACCAAGCTACTCTCCAAACCTCCTCCAGATATATATATTTTTAGCAGAAATAAGTCTCAAATATTGAAAGGGACATGTTCATACTAGAGAAGTATTCAGGGCTGGGGTGTCCTCAGTTTAATCCCCAGCCACGGCTAATTTTTTTGTTATTTATCTGAAATTCTTATTTAACTGAGCATCTTAAGCATTTGCTAAGCAACCTTCCTAGTCATTCCCTTGCAAAGCTGCTAAGTATTTCTGCTCCCATTTTCCAGATGTGTCTACTTGATAGTAAACACTACTACAATTTCAGTCACAATCTGCCTAGTATGTGTACTAAGTATTGTAGAAGAAGGGACACGATTTGGTTTTTTATTGTTGCTGTTTTGCAGTACTGGGGATGAAAACCCAGGCCTTGCACATGGCGGGCACTGTTCTATCACTAGGCTACTTCGCTAGCCCCAGCATTAGCTTTGGTGCTGATCTCTTCCTCTGAGTCCTAAGAATAAAGATAGCGGCTCCTTCGTTTGTGGGAAAAAGGATTTCTGATCCTCTCTGAACTTTCAGTCTGACAAGAAACCACTATGTAAATGATATCCTCGAATTATCCTCCATTTAGCTTACCAGTGATGGTGAAGCGTTTAGAGCTTCCCATGATACAAACAGTCCACCGTGGCACATGTGCCATAGGTTCACCACCACTTTTGGCTTAGGCTGAAAAGATAATTTAGCAACTTCTTCAAAATGCCTCTATTTCCACAGAAAAATATTGCTTTGAGGCGCCAAATAGAGTGATGTTGGAAAGCAGATCTGGGGACAATATTTAGCAGATGAGACCCATGTGTACGTTTACAATACATTCATGAATGAAAATGAAATAGTAAAGAGACATATATGCTTGTAGTAGAAGTTCTTTTTCTTAAAAACCTGATAACTACTTTTATACTATGTTTTATGGAGCACTTATGTTTATAATATTAACAAACCATTATATATTGTTTCTATGTAATCTAACTGATTTAACCGTTATTTTGTCTTATTTTGTCTCTTTGTACTGGCGGTCAAACTCAGGACGTTGGAGGCAGGCGTGGTGCCACTGAGCTAAATCCCCTGCTTTATTTTGTTTTTTGAGACAGGGCCTCACTACGTAGTTCGGGCTGGCCTTAAACTCACTATGTGGCCCATTGAGCTTGACGTGACCCTCCTGCCTCATTCTCCCAAGTGCTGGGATTATAGGCATGCAGCACAGATGGCTAATTTGACCATTCTTGTGGGATAAAGGTTCAGAAGAAAAGTGCTATAGAAATCGTATATATAAATATTTGCAAAGCTGCTACTGCCATTGTATCAGTATTAAAATGTGTCCTACTTTTTATTAATTTTTAAGACAGATTTTTTAATGTAACATTTACCCTGTAAATATATGGTCTCATTAAACTGCTACTTCTTATACATTCCCAATGCTTGTTTGTTTATTTGTTTTGTGGTGGTAGGGATGGAACACGGCCTTCACACTGAGCTACATCCCCAGTCCATTCTTCTTTCTTTTTTACTTTGAGACAGAGTCGCTAACTTGCTAAGTTGCCCAGGCAGAACTCAAACATGTGATTCTCCTACCTCAGCCTCTCAGAGTACTGGGAATACAGGCCTGCAATGACACACCCAGCTATTTGGAGACTGAATTGCTAATAGAGAATGTAAACAACCAACATGCATCTAGTTATATTTTAAAATAAAGAATAATGTTACCTTTAGTTTTTCTTCTCTCTTTCTCCTTCCTTTCTTTTCTTTCTTTCTTTCTTTCTTTCTTTCTTTCTTTCTTTCTTTCTTTCTTTCTTTTCTTTCTTTCTTTCTAGACAGGGTCTCTCTGTGTAGTTTAGGCTAGCCTCCAACTCATGGCAATCTTCCTGCTTCAGCCTGGTAAGTGCTGGGATTAGAAGAGTATGCCACCATGCCTGGCTTTGGCTTCTCTTTTCAACCTTTGATACATTTAGAAAACAAATCATTAGCCAATCATAAAGCAAACACTCATATATAAACATCAAGAAATAGATATGATGAGTAGCCTCAGAAGTTCTGCCTGCCTGCCTGCACCCTTCTATCGTAATTCCTTTCCTCCCGAATAACTCCTGAACTGCTCACTACAATAAATAGTTCCTGCCTTTGACATTCTATGTATACATCCCTAAATGCTGTGGTTTATATTGCTTGCTTTTGAATTCTGTAGAAATAGCATTGTATGGTAAATACATTTTTTGTTTGTTTGTTTCTGGGTTTTTTTTAGCATTTTTTTGGACAGACAAATTTTTTAATTTCCAAGCTTCTTTTGTGTGTGTGTGTGTGTGTGTGTGTGTGTGTGTGTGTGTATGTGTGTGTATTTTTGAGACAGGGTCTCACTATGTAGTTGAGACTGACCTGGAACTCACTATGTAGCCCAGGCTGGTCTGATCTCACAGTGATCCTCCTGCCTCAGCCTCCTAAGTGCTGGGATTACAGGTGTGCACCACCAAACCCGGCTAAACTTTTCTTAAATTATTGATTAATTTTATTGGTACATTTTAGGTATACAATAATGATGACATTTACCATTAGGAATTTGTGTCTTTACATGTTATATCTTGGTAGCATTTTTTAAAAGACTGAACTATTTTATTGTATGATGCTATAGATTTTTTTTCCATGTGCAAATAATTAATTAATTTATTGTGGGTTTTTTGTTTTTGTTTTTGGTACCAGGAATTGAACTTGGGACCTTGCGCTTAAGACAGGTGGCAGTACCACTGAGCTAAATCGCCAGCCCTAATTTATTTATTGTTTAAGAATGTTAGGCTTATTTATAGTTTTTGTCTCTTGGGTTTTTGTTTATTTGTTTTTTGTTGTTTTGAGACAGGCCTCACTATGTAACCCAGGCCAGCCTAAAACTCTTTGTGATCCTCCTGCCTCACCCTCCTAAGTGGTGAGATTGCAGGTGTGCACTGCCACACCTGGTATTTATTGGCTGTGAACCATGTATGCCATTATAAATATTTTTGAACATGTAGAAGTTACCCTGGAAGTGTATACCTGGAAGTGAAAATGCTATATATTTCTTTTACTGCTATATTTTAAAGTATTCTTATTTTTTCTTTTCTAGATACTACCAAGCTGGTTTCCCAAGTGTTTACACCAATCCACATCCTTTCACTAAAGTCTGAGAATTTCTGGGCCGGAGGTTTAGCTCAGTGGCACCATAACTGCCTTACAAGCACAAGATCCAGTACCAAAAAAAAAAAAAAAAAGAAAAGAAAAAAAGTCTGAGAATCCCTGTTCCTCCTATTTGCTTCAAGAGTATTTTACTTATTTGTTTTTTCCATATTTCTTACTTTGGAAACATAATGATGTATTTGGTTAATGTACTATTGGTAACACATATATACTATTTTTGCTGGATTTACAAGTGAAATAATTTGTTAAAATGATCTTCTGTCAGCAAAATCACATACTGAACATAGCTAATAATCTACATGGTGAGGATCACAATACAATTTATTTGTTTAAGCATGTAGAATTTTTCATTTTCAATAAGGATTTGTTTATTTTTTATTTATTTTTTATTTTTTATTTTTTTGCTACTTGCGTCCTTATGCTTACAAGTCAGGCTCCGGAACCACTGAGCTAAATCCCCAGCCCTTCAATAAAGATTTGGATATGTGGGAACAAAGAAGGAAAAACACAAAGCAAACAGACAAAAATAATGCATTTAAAAGCTCCTGCTTTTGAAATTCTTGTTAGAAAATTAGACTTGGTTAAGAATTTATAGAAGCACAATATAGCTTAGTAT